AGCGGAGCGTCTTTTAGACTGTTCCGAGCCGATTTTGTGATCGGGTGGCGGTTTTACCGGTCGGGCCGAGGGGCTCGGCTCGGCTTTAATAACACTGCTCAAAACTCTAATCTAATTAAATCGCAAGCAGTGGCAGTGATTGACAATTGCCAAAATCCTAATCAAAAGTCAATAATAAGTTAGTAAAAACTTTAGTTTATTTTAGGCTAGTGAATGCAAGCAGCAGCTGTGATTATTGGTTAGCTTCTAGCCTTTTTTTGAACTACTTCGATTCTTAAGGTGATCGATTCTCATACTAAGAGTCATAAGTATCCAAAAAACATTCTTCTTACATATAATTAGTGGGTACGCTTTTTGCCCAAAATTCTTGCTACTGTTTCAATTCTTGGCGTTTAGTGAGTTGCTATCTCAAACCTTCCACTGGAGATCTCTTTGAAACTCAACTTTTGTGACCTCCCTGACCCACCAGAAGTGCTCGCCTGCGGCACTGTGTGACCATGTTTTCCTCCCTGCTCCTCTGTCAGCTTCATTGTCCTTCTCCCAATGACCTCCTCTCTGTATGCACGCCACCACCCATGTTGCTTTTGTTGAGCTCTTTCTACAAGGCTCTTTCCCATCCGTTTGTACGAAAAGCGAAATCTGGCGCCATTGGGATTTGGGCATAGGGGTGCCTCTGTGTCAGCATCTCCATCTCATTCTTGCCTGTCATTGGAATTGGAGGTTGGTTCTTCCGTTTTTTTGTTCCCAAAATTCACTCTCTTCTTCCACCGGGTCTTTCTTGCGATCTCCCCTCTTTTGCTTCGTTTTCCTAGAGATTGGCATTATCCTTTCCAGCTTCAAATCTTGCTTCCCTGATCCAACACGGTGAGATAATTGGGCAACAAAACAGTAAGTTTTATCCTCTTCCGTGGATTCTATGTTTCGGATATCTGCATTGGTAAACTCCGGTTAGTGAACTACGGTGAGAGACAACAATGCAACTCTTTTGTAAACTTGGTTGATTTAGAAGCTTCAAGGAGTTATCCAGTTGATGTAGGTGCATGTGAGTCTCCAAGGGGTGGATCTGGCTCTGAAGTTGTGGTATATGGAGTGATTTCCCTACACATGTCCATATCATGGATTAGGTTGTTTCCAGTAGCTATTAATGTAGTTTCAGTGGGCGGTCTGTCATAAGTTTCTGAGATATGTAATAGTTTTTTTTTTCTTGGTTTAGTCCGAGGTTCTTTTGTTGCAGAGTTCAGGTCGCTTGAATAACCCAAAGGCCGCTTGCAGCTGTCCATGTTAATTTTTCACTTTTCTTTATTTCACATTGGAAAGTCCCGCCTTTGTCGATGAAACGATGTCCAGTTAGTATAGATCTAAATCCTTTCACCAGTACCAATGTTAGTGCCACAAACAATCCGAGCATGAGTTAGTTTTTCCTATGCTTTGGTTTGCCTCATGAATTAAATTTTCCTTTGCTTTGGTTTACTTATAGCCACAATATTGTAGCTGGGTTGATCTGAAATGGTTTCCAACATTTTTCAGTTTTGGGTTGCTACGAGTTTACCTTCTCGAGTCCTGTCCCTATGACCGACAATGGTGTACTGTCAATTGGGTGATCTTCAGTCGAATGGGTCACGTGTTGCTTCTTATCAGCTGCTTTTGATTGACTGCTTGAAGCAACATTTGTGAACTGGTAATAAATTGGACAATACAATGACCTTCTTTCCAGGATCTCAATTCACTGCCGTACTGTGTTTACATTTGGATATGGAGTAGCACCAGAACTGGGTAATCGCCCCCTATATATTTATGCTTCCTTCAGAGTGTTTTTTGTTTTTATTTGTTAATTGATTCTCTCAAGACAATTTTGGTAATAATAAACTGTAGTTTCTCCAAGGCTGGTATTGTAGTTTACTTTGTCATTGTCATGTAGTTTATTCAAGCTGGTAAATTTTTCAAGACTGCTATTGTAGCATACTGTGTAAATTTTTATCAGTGAGTATATTGCACTGGTTTCATCATGGGAGGTCTTAGTACGTGTTCTTTTGCTTATGTAGTATTTGAATCGGATTTAAAATTGGGGTAATCTTTTAAATGGATGTGTTGCATATATGTGCAGGTGATTCTTGACTGCGATGAACCGGAACCTGGAGTAACTGTAATGTAGCTGCCGGGGAGGTGAAGGCTGTTACTTTATGTTTTCTACTCAATAATAATAATCTACTTTCTCTCTTTTTGGTTTGGTTACTTTATGATTGATTGTGTCATGGATCGCTTCTTCCCTAAATTGAACTTTTTAGTTAATGAACCGAAACTAACTACTGTAACTTTTTAGTTACTGCGGCGTTGCGTAGCTGCTGCGGCGTTGCGTAGCTGCCGCAGGTATTGATTCTAGTATCTTCTAAAAACTTAGATCCGCAAATCCATTCCGAAATCTAACAAAAGACAATCTTTTTTTTAGGTCAAATCCACTATAAATAATCTTGTCTCTAGATTAAAAATCTCTAATCATATTAAACCGAGGTTAAGAGACCTCACCTATACCCGTCCATTTCCTCAATCTGCGTCAAAACAAGAGTAGAGGTTAGATCTAGCCCAGATCAATATTGTAAAAACTAAAAGTTATAGAAACAAAACCTTTCTCACCTGTCTTCTCGTCGCCGAGATTTTCACACGGCGAATTTTGCTTTTTCCTTCAGCACCCCATATTCCTTCCCCCCTCGCACAAAACCAAATGGAAACCCTAGATCAAAATTCAGAATCATAAAACGAAAACGAAAACGAAACCAGCAATAAGGCCCAAACAAGACATGCAATAAAACGAACATTTGAATTTCCCTCCTAGTCGCCGTTGTTTGTCCCCAGGTCTGGTCGTCGCCGACCACTCGTTCCCTTTCCCCCTTGACAAAATCAAAAAACGAAAAGAGAAGATCATAATCTTAAAAAAAACGAATATCTAAGATCGAACAACATGCAAGACTAATCTCACCTAGATTAACCCATTTCTGTCTTTTCGGGGCCCTTTGGTCGCGTATCATAAGCGATGATGAGCGAAAGGAGAAACTCCGAGGGATTTTCTTCAGGTTTGGGTCACTTTCTGGCCGGCGGATTGAGAAGAAGAGAGATGGCGAGGGGAGGTTAGGTCTAGGCGGCTAGGGTTTCGTTTTGTGGAAGGGAAGAAGAGAGGGAGAGAGGTGACGCAGAGGGCGGCGCTAGTTTTGCTTAGGGTTTTCTTCGGTCTCTGGTGGGAGAGTGACGAGAGAGAAAGAGAGGGAGAGAGGATCGGGAGAAGAGAGAAGAGAGAGGCTAGAGCAGCGGCCGCTCTTGGCTGTTGGGTTTAGTTTGATTAGGTTTTTTTTAGAGACTATATATACCCTCGGTTCCAAATGACCGTTTTGCCCCTAGGTTTCTTTCTAATTACGTGCCCCTGTCACCGTGTTTTTGAGTAATTATAAAACTACCCTTCCCCCTTCTCTAAAATAAAATGAGAAATCGAAAAAATGGTGGAGACAAGGTTTCGAACCAGTGTACTCACGATCAAATGCGCTATACGATTGGCGTTTTAGCCAGTTGCGGTGCTGACCCATCATAAATAACTTAAATCATCCCGTTTAGATTTATTCGTTTAAAATCCTTAATATGAAATGATGAATGCGGATTAAGTTTCCCTTGTTTCTTTTCTAATACGCCAAAATACTTCCTAATAACTAAAATACTTGAAGTTATTGTCCTAATCTCATAATAATCTAAATGAAGTTTTATTTACAAAATTATAATATGAAAATTACGTTCAGTGGAAAGTGGTAAAAGTTATAACTAAAACGATCAAAGTTCCTAACGAACTACGTGGACTTTGATTCCGTCTAACGGGTACGTAGGCAGCCGATAAGGTTCGAGTCCAACTAAACAATTAACTTTATCTTTAAATTTTACATCACTGCCGTATAATTAAATCTTACACTGGGGCCCTATAATAAATTAACTAATACGATAAAATTGTTTAATGGTCCAGTGGGGCCCTAAAATTACAAAATTATTACTAAAAATACACCCAACTCGTATAAAAACTTATCGAATTAAGTAGTACCATTTTGGGAATTGTGGGGTGTGATTTCACTTCCCCACACGTAACCGTACTCCCGAACCCATATCTTTTAACCGCAGACCATGTTCCGGTTCTGACTCGAAGGTTAGAGACGACCTAAGAGTGTTCGATCCACTCCTACTAAGATCAATGGAGACTCCCAAAAAGCGAACGCGATCCTCGACGACCCCTGGAGGGACGGTTGGGACAGCTGGATACTTTGAGAGACAGGTTACATAATTAAGTTCGATAAGTTTTCTACTTTCCTATTACTTGTTGGGTGTTTAGTTTCTTATTTGCGCAATTATATTTACACATTTTAATTATGCATTCGTGCATAAAAGCTCTATATGCGAGCTATCCTATTAGCGGAAAAGGAGTACTGTGACTTTCACAGTAGTGGAAAGCACGCAAAACTTTCCAACCGAGTTGAACTCAGATTCGAGGTTAATCTTAAGGTATCCAGCTAGTTCGAATGGACTATGGCAGGATACAACTTGGGAACCAATTCCTAGGAATCCCTCTACCACCATATAGTAAGCATACAAACCACCTTCAGCTATCCTAAACATATCCCGAAGCCTCCCTAACACCACGTCATTATGCCCTCCGAAAATCCTAGGTTTTCACAAATAGGGTTATGTTTTTATTATCTGTATGTATGTTTTCAAACGATGTGATAACTTGTGTTATATTCTTCCAATTGCAAAATAATTTGTCTGTGTGAACAATGTTTAAAAAAAACTCATAAACATTATTCTTTCTGTGTTTTCACTTATGCATTTAAAATAAATCACGAAAACATTTTCAAAATGCATGTGCATCCAATGAATCATCTGTGCATCTATGCATCATATAAGCATCATACATACTCTCCATTACTCATTCAAGTTAATTTAACAAAATTAATTGGCCAAGGTTCCTTAAAATTGCTCGCCTAGGGGAAACAGTCGTCCTTTTAAGTATTTAACGAGATCAAAAGCCAAGTTCGTCATGGAGGCATTTCAGAAGGAGTTGAATGACATCAAAGGGAAGCTAACAGAGTTTGATGAAAAGCTAGTAGGGTTCGATGAGAAACTGATGGGTTTCGATGAGATGAAAGGCCAGCTCGACACGATATTGAGCATATTGTCAAGAAAAGTGAAGGAGGTTGCAACGAACGAGGAAGAAATCATATTTGACGACGATGATCACTATGAGCAACCTCAGGGAAACGTCTCGGGTAGTAAATTCATCCTCATACCTTTGAAGAACACAGGCGACAAAGGTGACATTGGGTCATCAAAGCATGACAAATCTGGAGAACCCGAGAAGCAAGAGGAACATAAAATCAAAGCTATATTAGAAGAAAAATTAGAACACATGAATGAACGAATAAGAAGCATTGAAGGAGTTGAATTGTACGAGCCTATGGATGCATCAAAACTATGTCTAGTCCCAGATGTCGTGATTCCTCACAAGTTTCAAATGCCATAATGTGAAAGATACAATGGCACCACTTGCCCAAAAAGTCATCTAGTCATGTACTACAACAAAATGGCCAACCATATTCGAGATGAAAGGTTAATGGTACATTGCTTCCAAAACATCCTGAGTAGTTCTGCCCTACGATGGTATATGCAACTAGAGAAAACAAAAGTGAGAAGATGGCAAGACCTAGCCGATGCATTCATGCGGCATTACAAGCATAACTAGGATCAGGCTCTATAATGAGAAATAGTCTTTCAAAGAATATGCTTAAAGGTGGAGAGAGAAAGCTGCAGATGTTCAACCTCCACTGTCAGAAAAAGAGATGGTGTCAATCTTCTTCGGAACACTAAGGGCTCCATACTACAACAACATGGTCGGAATTACCACAACCAACTTTGCGGATTTGCTTGTAATTGGAGAACAGATAGAAAAAGGTTTAAAGCAAGGTCAGATGGAAACTCCAGAGGCCTCTATGAAACCACACCAAGCCCGAACGGGATAAGCAAATGTTCATTATACTCAGACAGAATCATCAAGAGGGAGAAGGTGGGGTTATCAACCTCATGTTGCGAATGCTGCCATAATTAATCAACGTCTGAATTTTCCTACTCAACGAGCCATCGAGAGCCCGACACGAGTCGCAACACCACCAAATAACCAAGACCAGGATAATTATGGGAGATACAGGAAACCCATCCAAATCAATCCTATCCCTATCACATACACTGAACTTTTCCCTCAGCTGATTCAAAGTAACCTAATCTTCCCAATACCATATGAACCTATGAAACCTCCTTATCCAAATTGGTACACAATAGACCAACATTGTGCTTACCACTCGGGGGTAGCGGGACGCTCAACTGAAGATTGCAGATCGCTCAAGATCAAGGTCCAACAAATGATGAATACTAGCTGGTTAAAGTTCGAAGAAGAGCCAAAGCGTCCAGATGTCAACAATAACCCACTATCAACTCATGGGAATTAGTAGACATACTAAAAGGCAAAGCTCGATTTAAGGATGATGTTAATCCTATCTAGTAAATAAAATATCGAGATAATTTGTCATAGCAAAATATGTATCACTTTTGCTTTTATCATCATAAATAAAAAGGTCTCTCACGTTTCGACCACTTTGGAGCATTGTGTGAACGGTATCAATCTTAATTTAAGAGTTTGCATCAATGTTTTATCAAAATAACGAATTCCACTTCATGTCCTTTTTAAAATGGGTTTATCTTCTATGAAAATGAAAGCCATCCAAATCCAATTTTATTTTCGAGATTGCCATGATAAGCAATTATGAGCACCCCACTGGTGTTGAGATTTGGGACACCCCATTGGTGTCGAGCAATTATTAAAACCCTGCTACTGTCAATATTTTGAGCACCCACTAGTGTTGAGAGTGTATGTGTTTTGCTAAAATCGAGAGATAAACATCCTACTGGTGACCATGAATCAGGTGAGTTAATAGTCAAAAGGTGTAATGAGTATATGACGTCATGCTACTTGTAGAATCTCGTCACCACTATAGTCGACTTTCGCCAACAAATTGAGACTTAAGTTTACATGAAGTCAAATAGCCAAATCCCGATGCACAGGGAGCCAACTATTAGTATCATATAAAGAAAACCCTCACAGATTCTCGTAACTAGAAGATTGAGGAGGATCAAGGATATATTTATCATACAAAGGGATCACACGTAGGAAGTACTCTTATACTCGCTTCAGGAGCATTACATCCCTACAAGCAGGGATTGCCCATTAAACTTACACATCAAAGTCCGATTGTGAGATATTTACGCAATACCGGGAAAGTAGATGGCATCAGCATCCCCACTTTTACCAAAAAGAATAGCCAATTTAATCTAGTTATTGAGATGTGGCACTCACATCATCGATCATCAAGAAGACTCTCTACCTTTCGATAATCGTCCTAACAAATACAAGTGCTAGATCAGGGAAAATTTGAAACGTATATGGGGGCATGACAAAGTCAAGTAAGTCCCACACAAAAAAAGAAGAAGTGAAAAGCAAATAAGCAAAGAAAAGAAGAGACAAAAGAAAAACAAACAAAATGTCGTGGGACTTACAATCTAGGTGCCCCCGGTTTAGCATTTGAAGTACCAAGCCAAGATCTTTGCCAATCAACCTCAAGATACAGTAATGAGGACCCTCAAGAAAGAAACTTCAATGATAAGAAAGCCGTTATAGCCAAAACCACATCATCCAAGGCACTCATCATTTTGAGAGAAAGCCATAAGCTGAAAGTCCACAACATTTCAACATTTAGAGGCCAAACAAGGATCTCCACAAGTCCCAAGCTAGATTGCACTCACGGAAATCATAGCCTCGGCTAGTGAAAAATACTGGGAGGGGGGGGGGGGCAAACCTAGTTGAAGAAGACTTTGTCAGCAAAACCCACCAGTATTTTCGAACAAGACTTTGTTAGCAAAAAGATCCAGATAATAGTGGTTCTTAATCCATCAAGTCAATCTCATACTTTGGGGGGGCAAAGCAAAAATCCCTTTTCGAGAGGCTTTATACTGATAATTTCAAGATTTCATATATTCGTTACCCATATGAATAAACTACACTTCAAGAACAAGGAGACTCATATCCTCAAAGGCATATCAGACAAAAGTCTCTTTCATGGGAGACTAAAAATGTCTGCGACGAAGCCATATGGAGGTCTCCTAAATCAATCATACCAAGGTCTTCCATATTTGAGTAAATCTTCATAAGGAACACAGCTGGCCACAACATAAAGGCGACGTCTCAAGGTGACCAGAATCCTAATGGTAGCTGAAGTGTCGTACACTCAAATCACTTGTAGGAGTGAGTGATGAGAAAAATCCAAAGCGAGAGTGAAATCGAGCAAAATCAAAAGCAAGAGTGAGAGCGAGGGCTTACTGATATTCTCATGGCTTGGCTTACATTTCCCTTATTAAAAAGAAAACCAAATTTGTCAACATAACAACTATCCAAAAAACAGTTTTCTCCAATTTGCACATACTTCTCGAAAGCAAAGTCTTGATATGGCTTTCAATTTTAATTCTCTAATAAACTTTTTCAAACATTTTTGCTTTAGTCTTAAATCAAGATTGGTATAGTCACTCTTTGTTCCGAAGAAAAGAAAGTGAGTAACAGATCTTCGGGGGCAAAAATGGTCCCCCACGGAAGAAGGGGAAGTCTGAGTACCCAAGAATAGGCTTAATCAAATTTTTACACATGAGTTGATGGAAAAAATCTAAGGGAGTCTGAAAACATTCAGATCTCATTAAGCCAACCGCAAATCGATTATGCTTCAAATGCATAGCAAGAAAGAAGTCCTATTATACCGCACTGACCGAGAATTATATGACTCTGAAACATGTGGGCCCATACCTGGTCGAGAAGAAGGATGAAGCAGCATACATTATCACTTCACCTTACAAAGCATTTCATCGCACAACTACCACCAAGAAGATATATTCAAGACAACAAGTTCAAAGTCATTTCGACCTAAGCAAAACCTGAGGATCAAGTTGAACAAAAAGGAATTGGCAATTCCTAGTAAATGAGCCATTTAAAGGAACCCCAAGCAAGATAAAGACAACAACACAGAAAATAAAGAGAAATAGTTTTGATAGCATTGTCAAATGCATCATATCCTCTTTTCACTCAATGTTCATGACTACATTAGCATGAGACATCATACAATCATTCTCAAAATCATTCCGAGATTCATTACATAACATCATCATACATCAAAGTGACTTGCTATGCATCACGATCACTTCCTAAAATTTCTAAAAAGTCTTTCTAAATGTACATGAAAACTTTTCATGCGAAATACCACTACGTATTTACCACACGTTAGCTTGATCTTTATCGCTAACATTTTCTCATTACTTGACTTGATTCCTATCACGAGTAATTTGAGTACATAGTTACAAAATCGTTGGCTTGATCTTTATAACTGACATTTTTCTCGTTATTTGATTTGATTCCTATCACAAGCCATATGGGTACGTTATCCTTAAACGAATAGTTATCTTGACTTTTTGTCGTTACCACTTTCCTCATTGTTTTATTTGATTTCTATCATAGACAATTTCAGTAAATCGTTCTTGCAAAATTTTTAGTTTGATCTTCCTCACTAACATTTTTCTCATAGTTTGATTTGATTCCTATCACAAACAATTTGAGTACAACAAATTTTACAAAATTGTTAGCTTGCTCTTTATCGCTAACATTTTCTCATAGTTTGATTTGATTCCTATCACAAACAATTTGAGTACAACTCCCTTTACATTGCAGATAACTTGATTATATCGTTGTTCCAAAATAGTTAGCTTGATTTCATCGCTAACATGTTTCAAATTGATCGATTGGTTTCTATCACAAGCAACTTGAGTATATCGTTGTTGCCAAATGGTTAGTTTGATCTTATCCCTACCATTTTCTTATACAATTCAGTTTGGCCACTATCATCTTAACAGTTTGGATACGTCGTTATTACCAGAGATCAATTTTAATTTCTACTTCTGAGATTTTCACATTTTAAAATGTGGTGTCTTTATAGGAACTTTGTATAACTCTTTATACAAAGAGATATACAAAGGGTGGCAACTGTAGACACCACATTATTTCCGAACCATACTCTATGCCTAAACTCAAGATGAGAAAATTTATTACAATAAATTAAATAGGATGCTTGAGAATAATTGGTTGAGATTGCAGTGGCAAGTCAATACAAACCAATAATTACCAAGTTTCATTTTATTGAAGAACCCAATTGGTTGAGAAATCATCAAAGACGATCATTGAGTTATCTTTTGCTTTATCTTAGAGTAAGGTTAAATCAATACATAAATACGATTAGCCCAAGTGATTGTTCGAGGTTGGACTTTTGTTTTCCTTTGATAATGGAAAGCCGACCGAATTTGATAAGGAAAGCTTAAGCTTTATTATTAATGTTTGCACTAACAATACAATAAAGATCACATTGCATAATATAAGCAAAGGTTCTAATTAATCAATGATACATGAGTTGGTTTTGCCAAAATGCTACGTGATGCAAATTACAATATGGGGAACTTGTTAGATATGAAGGTCCAGCCCATCCGAGCTGTTGGGAGTCTTCAAATCATCAATTTGGGCCCAAATGAGAATAGCTCAAGCTGCAAAATAAAAGTAGAT